TCCTCACTCACCGGCTGTACAGATACACGTCCTCCTCCTCACTCACCGGCTGTACAGATACACATCCTCCTCCTCACTCACCGGCTGTACAGATACACATCCTCCTCCTCACTCACCGGCTGTACAGATACACATCCTCCTCCTCACTCACCGGCTGTACAGATACACATCCTCCTCCTCACTCACCGGCTGTACAGATACACGTCCTCCTCCTCCTCACTCACCGGCTGTACAGATACACGTCCTCCTCCTCACTCACCGGCTGTACAGATACACGTCCTCCTCCTCACTCACCGGCTGTACAGATACACATCCTCCTCCTCACGCCACGACGTCAGCACACCGACGACCGCGTGCGCCGCCGCCGCGTCCAGCCCCCCGCAGGTGGCAGCACCCGTCAGCACGGCGAGCGCGCCGACGCGGTCCGCGGCCGCGCGGCCAGGGGGCGCCAGTGCGGCGAGCGCGCGTTCGGCGGCGACCGGGGGGAGCAGATCGACGAGCGAGCGAAGCGTGTGGAAGACTGGCAGAGAGAGGGCGCCACCGGAGAGCCTGTGCAGAAAGAAGACGAGGCAGACGATATATATATATATATAATATATAATCCGCACGTATTTCAACATTGCTTCTTCTTCTTCTTCTTCTTTTTCTTCTTCTTCTTCAAGTTTCTTTTCTTTACGACACCAATACATAGCTGAACACATCATTATTTCATTATATGAACCTAACGTTTCATATAATGAAACTTCTATACAAGTTCATAATAAATGCCAGAGAATTTGATTTGTTGTATGGTTATACATCTTTTACATACGAAATTCTACACCTAGTTACCATTTTTACCAAGTTGACATTGTTATCTAGCAGAGAAGATAATAAATACGTCAATATGTACGAATCGTTTAAAAAATAATAAAAAACAAAAAACAAAATCACAAACATGGAAGACAAGGATAGCATATCGCACGTGTTAGGCGTCAGTTTTCGCCGCGCCGGCGACGCGAAAACAAGAGACCATCCACGTGACGTCCATCATACGCCCGGCGCTCACCTGTCCATCACAGCGCCCTCTAGTGTGCTTCTCACGTCCGCACCCAGGTGGCGCCCCAACCAGCCCACCCCCAGCGCCGCCTGGTGGCCAATCTCGAGTGACTCTGCGGCGGCGGCGGCGAGCAGCAGGCGTCGCGCACCAGGTGGCAGCAGCGCTGCGAGGCAGTCCATGCTGGTCAACAACGTGTCGTGATGCGGTGCGCTCAAGCGGCGTGCCTGACAATGAGACGATACGCAATCACAACTATTGGTATTAATTAGTACCAATTAACTTCATTAATAAATTTATTATTATTATCACATTAAGAATTATTATTAATAATTAGCGATTTTATTTTTAATAAAATTGATGGGCCTGACGACGAGACGATACGAGTCACAGACAAGTCTAGACTAATGGCGTTAATTGTCATTATTATTAAAATATTAACAATCATTATTCAAAATTGACGATGTTTCATTTTTATTTATAATCGCGGGTAATCTCATGTGCAACGAACGCCAATGTGAGTGCCAGAGCCAGCATTCAAAGAGAGAGGAAAGAGAGGGAAGGAGAGAGAGAAAGAGAGTGAGTGAACAAGAGACAGAGAAAAAAGAGTGAGTGAACGAGAGAGAGAGAGAGAGAGAGAGAGAGAGAGAGAGAGAGAGA